TAAAATTATTTTTAAAATGTTATATGAAGAAGGAATTTAGTATTTTTAATGGTCAATTGTTCTGATGCGATTTTTTCAGTCTTATCATTACTTCCACAGTTTGAGACGGCGTCTTACAAACATATCATTAGATAGGTTTGCAGAGAAATGTGGACCCTCTATGCTGTACTGTTGACCTATTTGTGTATTATTTTTCTAATATTTAGGAACTACATAGTTTGATGTATATCTTTAAGATGAAATTATTTATTGAAAATGCTGTTTTATGGGGCTGGAGAGATGGCTCAGTGGTTAAGAGCACTGACTGCTCTTGCAGAGGAGCCGGGTTCGATTCCCAGCACCCACATGGAGGCCATGAACAGTCCTTAACTCCAGTTCCAGGGGAATCTGAAACCCTCTTCTGACCTCCAAGGCATTGCACAACCCGCCTGCACTTACATACATGCAGGCAATACACTTATACACATAAAATAAAAGTAATAAATAAAATGTTTTAAAAAAGGAAATGCTGTTTTATTTAGGGTTCCTACCTCTAGCGTTAGAAGAGGCCTATGGTGTTTTGGTTTTTTTTTGTTTGTTTTTTTTTTTTTTCTTCTTCTTATTTTAAATCCTTGTCCTGTTTTGTGAAATCCATCTAAAACAACTGTGGGCCCAGCTTCTGGCTGTTTCCCATTTTGTCTGCAGAGCTGGCCTATTGATTTTGAATTTCTTGATACAATCTCATTAACTTTTCCTCAGGAACCCAATTATTTGTGGATTTATAATTCGATCTCCTTATCATTTAGATTTTTTATTCTTAGAGTGACAAAGATTTATTTTGTTGGCCTTTTAAAAGAGGCCACATCTGCTCATACATCCCAGAGTGTTTTTCTGATCTACTTAATTTCTACTTCTTTAAATCCTCTCCTTCATTCCTTGGCTATGTGGTTCTCCTTCTCTAACATTTAGTACTTTTTTCATTTGTATTTAATTTTTACTTTCCCAAATATTGTAGCTCTGTTTTTTAACTACCATCCTCTATGGTTTTGAATTTTCAAGGAACGTGATCCACTTTTCTTGATCTCTATCTTTCTATCAACAGTTTTTTCAAATTTCATTTTACTACATTTTGACTGGAAGATACAGCATTATGGTTTCTGATCTGGAGAATTTTTTTATGCTTTTATTTTTAGCTGAATAAGTAACCAATCATTGTGAATGAATCATATGTTGGATAAAATATTCTTTTCTTAAACACGTGTTTACTTTTCCAAGCATTTTGCCTGATCAACATGATCAAAGGTGTTTTCTACCCACTTGATTTCTAAGAGTAGTCTCTTTTCTTTT